AAATTTTAATAGTTTAGATAATTATTACAAAGCCTAATAAAGTGAAGGCAAGACTGCTGAATTTATAAAAAAAAAAAAATATTTTAACAATGGTTTAAATTATTTAATTAAAAGATAGCTAGTTACAAGGCAATCCTTTTACTAGATAATGCAACAAGTTATTCTGTTAGCCAATTAAAATTATATAATACAATTGTTTATTTTTTTTCTAAAAACACATCATCACTTATACAACTGATGGATACTAGCATTATTATATCCTTTAAATGCCACTACTGAAGCTATTTTGTGAAATAGTTGCTTGAAAAATATGAATCTGTAAAAGAAGATATAAAGCTCAATATTCTTGGTACTATCCAGTTTGTTGTACATGTATAGAATGAAGTATTATCAACAATAAATAATTGCTTTTACTATACAAGAATCTTTCTAAATAGTAATGAAGAAATTGTCATTGCTATAGTTATTGAAAATAAGAATGCATTAATATGTGAGCTAGAGAAAGATATTGAAGCATTTAATCTCCAAAATAGAATGAATATATTAGAATATATTAATTATATAGGTAAAAAAGATATAAAAGAAGTATTGAATAACCAAGAAATAGTAAATCTAATTACTCACCAGAAGTCTAAAGTTGCTAAAAATAAAAGAAGTGACAATAAGAAAAATAATAATACTGAAATGCGAATTATTACTTACTGAGAAGTATTAAATGCTTTAGATTTACTAGATTAATATTTTTTGTAGCAATATCTCAATAAACATGATGTTGTCTTATCAAATTTATATAAAGCAGCAAGGAAGTTTGGAATGATTCTTATAAACAAGTTACTATCAATTCTCTTTGGCATGCAAATAGTTACTTAAATAAAGATCTTTACTGGAATGAGGATACTTAAAAACTGTATTGGTAATTAAGGATTTAGTTGTTTGCTCAAATAAAATAAAATAAAAAATACTTAAGTTTGTTTAGAACTTGTAAAAAAAATATTTTTTATATTAATATATAGTCACACTCAAGTGATTTTTATAGAGGTGCTTATATAGGAGTGTGATAGTATTAAATAAAAATTATATATATAATATTAAAAAAAAAAATTAGAGATCATATATAAGTAGATTATAATAGTAATTTATTATATAACATGCCAAATTTTCAATATTATTAGTCATTCTTTAAATACACACTCTTTTTAAATACATATCTAGCACCTACCTATATAGTGTACACTTAGAGAAGTTTGACTGTACATAAAATAAGATATTGTATTGATTATAATACTTAAGCATTTTTGGATTTTTAAAAAAATTAGGTAATTTTATTAAAAAAATAAATATTAAGGCATCTAAATACTGTCTCTATAAAAGTCTTTTTATATGTTTTTTTATAAAAACTATGTTTTACTAATATTTAAACTTTTATTATCTATATATAATTAAGAAATTATTTACTATTCCTTAAATTGTTTTGCAGCCAAATTTGCCTGCAAACTTTTTTAAATTTTAAATTTTTTTAATAAAATTTTAAA